TCTCAATCCGCAGTCTTATACAGCCTTAACAGACTACGAATTGAGATCGAGATTAGATTAAAATTTGACCAATCAGAGTAAAGTTTACTGCTCTCAAGTTTAGCGAATTTTACTCTGATTGGTCAAATTTTAATCCAATATCTCAATCCGTAGTCTGTTACGGGCTTTACACGATCCAAAATTGTTAGAATATCGATCTTGATAAATTCTTCCTTCAAACAAAATTACCGCACGATTCCGCAAGTTTGATAAGATTTTATATCAACGTTTGCTGCAGGTTTTTCGTTTCCTTTTTTCAATTCATATAACATTAATTTGTTAATGTTAAAATTATCTGAGAGAGAGAGAGAGAGAGAGAGAGAGAGAGAGAGAGAGAGAGAGAGAGAGAGAGAATTGTTCAAATATAATACGACCTTCGAGAAGGTACTTGCGGAGCAAGTTATCTTCTGGACTGCCGGGCTTAACGATTGCGTCATAAAGAATGAACGACCGCCGGCGTCGGCGAGAGGAGACGACAGATTGCCGACTCGTTAGGCGCGTGAATCATCTCCGTCTCGTATCGTCTTCCTTCATAAACAAAAATGAGTCATTCGGTATGTATAATTAAGGAGGACGAGCGCCGATCATGACCGTGAAACGAGTCCGCAAGCCGCTCGGGCTTACGCAATGTGATAATCGCCGCGACGCTTCTTCGCCTCGTTCTTCCTCTGCCGTGTCCCGGGGAAAGAACAACTGCACGCGGATTTACGTCTTTAACGATACACTATATACGTATACATATAGAGTTACGTCAAACATATGGTCTAATACAGGATGCTCGGAAACTACCGTGCATTATTTTACAACGATATATTTAGAAGAGAAAAGAAATTAATACTATGCCACGAATTACGCGGTTTCTCCCACGAATGGAAGCTTTGAAAGAAAATGTAAAGAAACTATTTCTAAGTATAAAAGTTTCAATATTATACGCTAGTACTGCCAGTACATAAATAATACGCCGTGTCCGCGCTGATTAAATGTTAAAACAATTAAGATAATTTATTCAGATGAACCGCTGTCTTACATCTTATCGATAAACCCCGCACATAAAAACGTCGCGTAGATCTCGCACAACACATCAATCGGCGCAACAAGTCTGTTCTTTATAGTCGAATTCCTTCTTCTTCCTTTCCAACATTTATTTGGATACCTATCTCGTTTCCAGTGCAGAAATTAGAGAATGCAGCTACAAAGAACAGACATGGTACATGCATGTAAATTCAGAATTTACAAATACTATCGGTATCTTCGTTTCGGGATAACGTGAGCACTGCATACGTCGTGAATTACAAGTGACATTACGTATTATTAAAAGATAATTGTTTTAAGTAAAGTCATCGTTAACTTAATACTATTTATATCTCTACGTCGCAGGAAAAATAAAACCATCTAATAGCGAATTCGATTGCCTGCACTAGTGCGCACTGACTGCACACTGAGGCCTGTTTACAGTCAATTTTTATATTTAACTTTGTTCTTAAAAGTACACGTTCAAAAAGTATTTAGCTAAAAAATGATCCGCGCGGATGCCACACAGATCACTTTACCGACTACGAAATATTTCAAGAGATACTTGAGACGATCCTTAAATATAAGAATTGATTGTAAACAAGCCTTAGTGTGCAACTCAGTGCGCACTAATGCAAGCAACCGAATTCGCTATTAGCTAACACACACTCTCTGTCGATTCGTGTATCTTTAAATACTGTTGATTCAGTGTCTAACCCAAAATTCATATCATGTATGTACAATTTATCGACTGCTCGATTAAATTAACGAACCGTAAATCGATACAGTGATATACATATATTATATATAAGATTTTCTCTAATTATTGCCAGCTGCCAAATCTTGCAATTGTGTCTGATAATAATTTCCATTTCCTTTGTGCACGTAATATAAAAAAATTATGTAAAAGATTCAGAATCATTGCATCATTTTTCTACTTTAACGTTAAAAAATTTAAGAAGCCCGATAGAATTACATCAATATTTCTGCCAATCTGTTTAAAGCTCATAATTCAACACGTTAAATAAATTCACGAATGTCTTGCAAACTTCACATGTTCTTCCTCACACTGGCCAAACATTGCAAGTTCAACCGTATGATATAGATTCGGTTTTAGCATACTGCTATTTAAAATTAAATTCCTAGTAACAAATTAAAAGAGCTGAGCATTTTCCTCTTGTTGTCTATGGCCATGTGATTTTCTGGCGTTTCTTCATTAATGGTTCCTGCAAGATTCAAATACGTCCGTTGTTATTCGTCTACGGAGTACGCAATTATTGTACAAACTATATCACTTCTCGACGGAAACAAGCAGGTTGCTGATAAATATTTCTACGACTTCTAAGATTTATTCGTGGAATAGGAAATCTTATTTTAGAATCTCACGTAGAATGGAAAACCTCGGACCTACTTTATTTTATCTTATCTTATTTGGACTTACTTGAACTACAGAAAATTACGACATGTATACCTCGCTCTGTTCTTCGCCACTGCGCTTGTAAATTCCGTTGCACTCAATCATTTCTACTTTCGGCGTAGAACATAATCGAATCTTCTTATTCGCTGGCCTCTGATCGTTAAGGGGGGCTTTCGATTTATCTGTCTGAAGATGAGACGATATCCTCTTGTTTCCTTTGTTGAAGTCTGCCACTAAACTGTCGTCATCGCTGGAAGGGGAACAAATTTGTTGTTAACGTAGTAAAACGTGTACTCTATTAGTAACGAAGTATTCTTTAATTAACGGAGAACTTACTTAACAGCCATAATGGATTTTTCTACTATCATGTCTACTGTACTCGAGCTCTTGGCGCCTCCTCGCTGCCGCTGAGGTAAAGGCATCGCGACTCGTTTATACATTTCCAACAGCTCGCTTCTACACAGTTTCTCGAACTTGAGGATCTCGATGCAACTCTAAGAAAAGATACGAGACGTAATCGAGATGCCACAAACTGTGCCCATCACACAAACATACAACGGCATGTTTCTTAAATTGCAACAAGTAATCATTAATTAACAACGCCCAACATGACCGCTGACGCTGTCGTCTCGCAGATACTTTGGAGCAAGATATCTTGGTTTGTAAATCTACAACGGGAAATACAACTCGTACGCTCACACACAAGGTCCGGTCTACAATGAGTTGCCAGTTGTTAGCCAGAAGTGAGAATTATGTGTCAATCCTTTCCCTTGCATCCAGAAATCCTGTACACACATAGTCGTGTATGCGACACGTGTCACGTTCACGTGTTCACGGATTCGCGTAACTGAAGAGTCTTCGAATTCGTGTACACGTGCACCAGGGAGCTCCAGCAGAAACCGAGCAGGTCCAGTTATGCGAGCAGATTTTATTGTATTTCTGCTGGCGCGCTGGCAACGTATCGAATACATCAGTTCCTGTGTGCAATCTGCAGTCTTTCTGCCTTCAGAATTTGTCATGGGTATTTGACAAAATCTGCTTCGACAGATTCGGCTGTCTGTGTAGTTCCGGCTTCCGACTAGCGACTCATTGCAGACCGGGCCCCAAGGAACATCTTGGACGTTTAACCTAAACTCGCGTCGTGCCGTAAACATCTGTCGAGGTGCAAGATAACTTAGATAAGTGACCGCCACCACACGTACACGTGAATTATTCTGCAATAGAAGCGACGGGAGAGCGGAGGAGAGCCGCGGGCGAGGCCGAGGGGAGTTTGTAAACACGCCTAACCTGCGCGACGACTTACGTTCTTCAGGATCTCGCGGAGCTGGTGCTCCGACAGCGACTCCGGGTGCGTGAGCTCGTACGTGCCCAGCCTCGACATCCTCGTCCACGATTCCTCGTCGCGTCAGAAGAAGGATTCGTCGACGGCCCGACGAACATCTCACACGAGCGGCGCAGTTCGCTCCCGGCCGTTATCGGGCCGCCGTTATCGCCGCATTCTCCACCCGCTATCTGACGTGCGGCGCGAGGCCGCGAGACGCACGGAAAATCCGACTGGCGCGTCGTCGCGGTTTTTTCTGTTACTCATCCCGTAATGACAATTGATGAATGACGGTAATGGTGTAATTTACACGTGTAAATTCAGCGAGAATGTCAAAATAAACGAGGTACCTTGGAAAATATGTATATACGCGCGGTTTTTTTTTAATTTTCAGTTTATAATTCCGAAACAATTTGCAATTGCGAAACGTTGGAGTATAATATATTTCTTTTTACACGCGTCAGCGTTAATATTGCAAAGGTTCACTCCGCCACGGGCGAGTCAGCAGCGCGAGAACTTGATATCTGAATTTTTCCACGATGTGAAATAAAATAAAAAAATTGTAGTGCACAAAGATTTTTCTATTATGTGACAACATTCATTCGATTCCACTTCGTTTATTGTTGAAACTTTTTATTTTTTTTTCAAATTAATTTCAAGGTACAAAGTTTTAGAAATTTTTATGAAGGGGATTGTGGTTTTCTAATTTCAATTTAGAGCCACCTCTTTAGTCAGTCATATTCTCGCGATCCTTTGTCGATTTTAAAGGTTTCGCTTTAGATCTTGAGGTTCAAAACTGCTCACGCGTGTTCTTTTCGCGCTTGTCCCTGCTTGTCCCGTAGTGTTCCCGGGAGCAGGCGCGCTCTCCCGGTGAATACTTTTACAACTCGTATAGCTCCAATCAAACTTATGAATGTCATACATTACACGATATTATATATATCACATGTGTGGCGATCGTAGCGGATCGCAGAGGATTGTGCGCTGGTCTGGTAATCCGAGGACCCGGGTTCAAAACCAAACAAAACATTGTTGGTTTTTCGTTCGATCGCCACATAGCGAAGTGGATATAGACAGAGGTGTTATAAGAGGTTTGGGCACGTTCCTTTAAAAACGCCTTGATAACCCTAATGCCCATTCTACACCTAGGGATGATCCTACTTGTGGCTCATCCGATACTCGCTTCTATACCTAAAGCTAATCCTACTTACAGCTTATCCGAGGAAGTAGTATAAAGTGTAAAAGGTACACTGTAGTTGTACTTTGGTACGATTGGAAACCAACCAAAGTGT